ATTTGCGGCATCTCTAATATATAGTTTTGCTTATACTATCGCATTTTTTAGTGTCGTAGAATGACAAAATTAGCTGAAGGCGGCACTTGAGTGGTTAGTTTTGCCCATAAGTACAAATTTCGTAGTTATGAGTAAACTAATCACTCAAGTTTATTTATTGGCCTGTGTCATAATATTCATAACTCGATTACCACTGATCAATATAATAATATTTAATATTATTCTATCTTAAGTTTTCCCCTTTAGGAGCCGAAAAAAATCCAAAATATGCAGCAAACATTTTGAAACTGCTTTGTTAATAAAGAAGAAACAAAACTTATTTAGACTACGATGCTGTTCCGACCATGGTACTTTAACATTCTTTTAATAGAGTTTTATAAGTACCTAGCTATTATTTTATGAGCCCATCTGTTTGTTAATGGGTAGTTTTAAATGATTTCAATAAAAATATTAATTCTATTTCAGTTCATAAAGTTGGCTAATTCAAAAATGACCATGATGATCCCTTACCGTTAACTTCTGCATCTTCTGCAAAACTGTTGACTACCATCACAGATAGTTCGAGTACTATCGTGATAAAATGCATAACAAAATCTATTGCTGTAAGTTTATCCTTGAATTTCCTCCTTTTATTTATGTGTGGTCTTAGGACGATGTTATCTTGTTGAAACAAGTACTGATTTCTTTATAATAAAATGAACAATTTCAGCAAACTTCACCAAAATTTACGCCAAGGACACTGAAACGTAAATGGAAAAGAGAAGAAAAAAATCTAGAGATTAAAAAATAAGGGCGCTTCGAGAAAAATCGCACAGGTTGACTAAGAAAGTGGCAAATTTAGAAAATATTCTTACAGAATTGAAGGCAAGATCACTTGTTAATAATGAAGATTGTGATATTGAAAGCAGTTGCCATGCATTACTTTGAAGTACGCATTTACCACAGCACCAAACAGGTTTTTGCACCCTGTGATAGAATTTGCAACATTTATAATAAACTCGTGTTATATAAAGGTTAATAAAATAATAATTTAATAACTATTAATAAAATCCGTATAGTTGGTTTTGGAGGAATGCATGGCTCTAGAGATATCCTCATACATTTCCTCCACCTCCTCATCGGAGTGTACCGAGGTTGGTGCGTAAACCTGTATGACCTTCAGCGAATACCGTTTGGTGATTCTGAGTATAAGGTACGCAACCCTCGTCGACACTTTTTTAATCTTTACAACGTTGTTAACGATTGTAAGAGACTTGTGGACGATAAATCCGACACCTCCTTGGGACAGATGGTCGCCCTCCCAGTGATAGAGCAAGTTGCCGGATTCGAGGATTACCGTGTCCTCCCCCTCTCTTCGGACTTCGGATAATCCTATAATATGTCAGCGTAACTTGTCTATCTCTTCTGCCAGCTCCACGATCTTCTCGTCAGTCCTCAGGGTGCGTGCGTTGTATGTTGCCAGGTCGAGTTGTCTTAGGTGGCAACCGGAGATTCTTAGCACCCCCTGACCCACCGTTACCATGGTCACCACTGTAGCTAGGAATAGCGGCGCCGCCAGGGACTGGGGGCAGTCTCTTTGTTGCTCTAATCATTGGGGGATATCTGCCATAGTTGCCAGGCTTGGCGAGCGGGTTGGCAACCGCAGTTTTTTTTTATTGTACTTTGCTGTTATCAGGAAGATGCTGCGGCCCATCTTCTGCCTGTTTCACTTTGTCGCCTTTTACGACATCCACGAAAAGATGTGGGGTAGTGGGTATTCTTAACCGCCACTACACGGCCAATCGATATATATCGATATCTTTTAATAAAAATATCCTTATATTTCGTCAATATTTTAAATCGCGATATATCGATATTACGATATTTTTAAAGTATCGAATTCGTATCAAGTTCGATATATTTTAAAATGTTGTTTCGTTTTTTTCGTCGTCTACCGTCAGAAAATAAATTTTTTGACCTTATCTTTATCTCTATTTCATCATTTGCACGATATATCGATATTTATCACGCGATATATATCGATACTGTTTAAAAATGTAGATTCGATGTATATCGATATAATTTTTTCCCTTGCCCATCCCTACTGGGATTCGCTCGCCGACTAGGACGGTTTCGGTTTATACAAAGGTACTCTGTGACTTATAGCTTTAGTTTATAGTAATCTGTGGCAATACAACATAGATAAATAAAAATATGTATCTAACTACCTAGTCAGGTCATAAATTCTGTCACATGTTTAATATAAAATAATTGAAACAAGTTTATTCATTATGTAACCATTTATATACCAAAATGAACTTAACAAAACATAGATTCTTATGACACTAAAGTTTATTCAAACTGACCTCCGTGATTTTGAATACAGGCCTTCAATCTGCGCGGTCAGTCGTCTATCGCAGCACGAACGAGGTCCATGTCAATATCGGCGGCTGCCTTAATCAAGGATGTCTTGAGTGATTCCAAATTGGGATGAGGCTTTGAGCACGCCTTTTCCTCCAAGTGTTGCCATATCTTGTAATCTAACGGATTCAAATCTGGACTGGAGGAGGGCCAGTCTTCGTGCTGGATGAAGTCGATTTCACGCGCCGCCAGCCAGTCTTGTGTGCTCTTCGCTCTATGAGCTGGCGCCGAATTTTGTTGGAATACCCACTGCCTGTTATTGAACATGGTATGAGAAACAGATTCCACAAGGTTTGTCAAGACTGTATTTTGATACACAACTACATTCGTTTTTACACCTTTCTCACAAAAATGTATCTCTGTTAAGCCCCAATAAGAAACTCCCAACCATACCATGAGCGAGGATGGAAAATGACCTCGTTGGACACGCGGAATACTGTTGCTCGCTTCTTCACTACTGTGTGCGTACTCTCTTCTACGGTAAAAATTTTTTCATCCGAAAAAAGAATTTCCCGATATTTTTTCCACGTACCGCTTTAACAAAGCGCGGCATCTCTTCAGTCTCAAGTCCATTAGACGAGCATTCAAACAATGTCCTGTTTTTCTTCGATATGCCCGAAGCCCTAAGTCTTCATTTAACACCCTTTTCACCGTGGTTCTGCTTAACCCCATCTGAAGGGCCAACAGTTTCTGCTTACGTTTGGGATTTCTTTGAATTCGCGCCTTCACAGCTTTTCACTGCTGGAGTCCTAACAGACCGAGGGCGACCACTTCTTGACCTATCATCTACACTAGAGTCTTCATTGTATCGTTTAATGGTACGATAAAGGAATCTTTTGGTTATATTCAAATTTTTCAGTATGTCAAAAATTTGAATTGGCGCGTAACCGCAACGATGCAACGCAATAACTGCAACATGGTCTTCTTTAAGCGTCCACTCCATATTTAAAAATGAGTAAAATTCTAAAAGTTATACAGTTTTATTTTCATGAACAATTCGAAATTCGAATTCAATAAACTTTTTTTGTGGCTAGCATTCTAAAAGAAAAGTTTTACTGTGTGACAATACTTATGACCTGACTAGGTACAGGCGTGAACATCATATTAGTCTGTGCTAACTGCTACAAGCTACAATGTACTCTTTGCGTGGACAGAGAACAAAGAGTGTAATAAGTATAATATACAGGAATGACAGAGAAAACTACATATTATAGACTCCTGCTTGGCGTGGTCACATGAGATAGGGAATGATGACGTCAAAAATAGTCAAGTGTTGTCATACCAAAACCTTTTACCCGATCAGTGGGACAAGAGCTCAAGCGGACCGTTAACGACCATGCAGCATAACATGGGTTTACAACGTTGTAATCTATATCTGTTATATAAATAAAAATGAATGACTTAATGTTGCTAAACTCAAACTATAGTTCGACTTTTAATAGGTATTGTATTCTGTAACTTGACAGTTTAACTGTAAGATTTTGCCAAATAAAAGATAGTGAGTTGGTAAAATAATTAAACTTGTCTTAAAAACACGATAAATACTATTAAAAATTGTCTTTAAATTGTCAAGTTACTGAATACAATTATAAGTCGAACTATATTTTATTTTTTCGTGTATTCATTGAAGTCTGAGGAAGATTCTTATAGAGAGAAATTGGAAAAATTACACAGAAAAATGTTAAAACCACATTTTACTTTCATCATCATCATCATTACAGCCTTTCATAAGTCAACTGCTGAACATAGGCATCCCCCAAGGAATGCCACAAAGCACGGTCCTCAGCCACCTGCATCCATCGACTCCATGCATGTCTTACCAGGTCGTCACTCCATCTAGTGGGGGGTCGCCTTACACTTCGCCTACCGGTACGAGGCTGCCACTCGAGAACCTTTTTTTACCATCGGTTGTCGGTTCTTCGAGCTATATGGCCGGCCCACTGCCACTTCAGCTTACTAATCCGCTGGGCCACGTCGGTTACTCTGCTTCTACTGCGGATATACTCATTTTTAAGTTTATCACGCAGAGACACCCCGAGCATAGCCCTCTCCATAGTTCGCTGAGCGACCCTGAGCTTCCTCATACGACCAGCAGTAAAGGACCACGTCTCAGATCCGTAAGTCATCACTGGCAGCACGCACTGGTTGTACAATTTCATTTTCAGGTTTTGAGGTATGTCTAACGAGAAGATGTGTCGTAGTTTCCCGAACGCTGCCCAGCCGAGTTGAATCCGTCGATTGACCTCTCGGTCGAAGTTGGACTTACCTAGTCGGACTATTGATGCAGGTGGCTCAGGACCGTGCTTTATGGCATTCCCTGGGAGAGGCCTATGTTCAGCAGTGGACTTGTGAAGGGCTGTGATGATGATGATGATGATATCGATATTTCGATATATCGATATTTTTTGCCCATGCCTACATTGTATATACACGAAAGAGCGAAACGAATCCAAGAATCCAATAATCCAAGATCCAATCATACAAGCTCCAAGCTTAGCTTGGTATAAATATATTATAGAAGTAGCAATAGCAAGTAGTATACTAATACAAACTTAATTGAATTCCTTGAAAAAACATTCTAACCTTCATTCAAAACTAAAATGTTTAAACTTAAGCTGACCGCTCTTGGACACCCCAATCCTGAGAGTTTTAATTGTGAAGGTAAAACTAGATTTATAACTACTATTGGATATTGCTCTCGCCAATGAAACTTAATTTGAACATACCTATCTTTATTTTAGACGAGAAAGAATATAGGAGTGTTGTTCTGTGGCTTGAAGATCAAAAAATAAGACATTACAAGATTGAAGATCGAGAAGGCCTTAGAAATATCGATGCGGATAGTTGGAAAGAAGCATATGATTTATATCAAAAGGATTTGGTGAGTCCTGTATCTGATGGGTCACCAAATGAACAATTAAATTGGCTTTTATCGTATGCTGTAAGACTGGAGTTTGCTGACAACGGTATGTACATTTTATGGAATAAAATTTATTTTAAGGATTTTATCGCATTCAATTTTTTCTTTTTTAATTATTGACGTTTCGGGCACTTTACACCACCCATGGTCACAGGGTTGGACTAAAGTGTTTGACTTCCTGATGTTATAGTTAATGAAGGCTACCTTCTTATTATTTTTATATTGCTGATCTATGCAGAACGAGCTTACAAAATCTTGAAGTGCAGTAGTACTTGGGTTTAATTTTATTAATTATGAGATCCCAAGCAGATAGTGTCACCAGCCATGTTCTCCTTGTTACCCTTGTTAGGATGATTCTGACTATGTTGACATACTAGAGACTTTTCTGAATGTCAGTGCTACACATCAGTATTATTTTAAACACAATAAAATCAGTAAAATTAGTTTTATTCCATGAGTAGTATTCACATAAATATAAGAAATCATGTATATTTTTAATACATGGTAGAGCCTTGCTGCGGCTATGTTACTAGTACAGTTGTAGTACGAAAGGGTCGGCTCGACTGGGGAAGGACCACACTCACAGAATACCAGCGTAAAATAGCAGATTAATGCTGCTGTGTTTTGTATGGTAAGTGTAGAGGACCGGAGATCCTTTTGAATGGAAATGAGACATTCCATCTTAGCCCTCAGGGGTGACAATGCATCTGCATTTTGATTCATAATCGAGGATAGATGTAGAGGTCTATGGGTGACAACAACCACTTATCATTATTCAGTTGACTGTGTGCTAATTTGTCTTCCTTATCCTATAAAAAAAACTAACACTCCACTAAAAAGATCCCGCTTAACCTGACTTGTCCTTACCGAATGTATCTTTGGAGTACATTGACTGCCAACCGTTGTTAAGGGTTGAGATTTCTCCGAACCTCAACTATGGGTGGTTCATTGGGTCTAGGACTATAACTTTCAACCAACTTTACCTATCTAAAGTTTATCTCTTAAAACTAATTGTTAATATATTTTCAAAAAAAGGTGTTAGGGGAGGGTCAACCTCCACTCACCCACTCCTTGTGGCACAAGATACTAAAGCGTTAACTGCTAAAAGTATCTTTAGTTAAGTAAAAATATTAATTGTTAAAAATATTATGTACTTATAAATGTACTTCTTTTACTTTTAATAATCAAGGTCTTGATTTTTGTATTAAATAAGTAATTTATTTTTCTAATTTTAGTTACAAAATACAAGGATGCAAAAATTGAACAACCGAAACAGGCAGCCCCAAATGTTGTGTCATCAAATCCACTGGACAACCTCAACTGTAAGTATTCTTTTATAATGCCAACTTTATATTATTCAGACAACTGACTAAAGCAAGTCAAGCCTTCATAGTAGTCTGCTAATGTTAACACTGTTGTAGTGGTTAGGTCTACTACTCTACGGCTACATTTTTCGCTTTAGTCACATATTCGAAATTCGTCCAAAAGCAGGCAAAGGTTTGGTTGAAGCCTAATTTTAATCGAACAGCCAAAAGCAAAAGAATTTTTCAAATCACGTAATAATAGCACGGTCCACGTGCTTTATTTGTAGGGCTCCGTCTTACAAGATAATTTTCATCAATATAGATCATGCACTTGGCAATTATTTACATTAGACCTTTATTATTATTATGTGAAGCACTTAAAAGTACTTATGAGCTCCTAATTTAATTTTGATTTTGATACGCCTTTTTCTCCGGCTCCTTTCATTTTTGGTAGGTTTCACCACCTTTAGTACGTTAAATATAGTATAAATACTAAAATCTTACTAAATAAATCTAAATTATATATAAGTCTAAATACAGTAAATGCAACAAAATCTTTAAAAATAATACAAAGTCTCTGATCGTTATAAATTAGACGACCCCTATTGCTGTAGGGCCACGCTGGGGCCATGTATTAGTGGTGTAGATTATCTACTACCCTGTGTCATCCCGTGGCTGTCGTAAGAGGCGACAGAGGGAAACAAATGAGATGGAGTGCGAAGTCTTCCTAAGAACAACCAGAAAATAAAAAAAGACTGCGGGTGCCAACCCACCTCCCAAGTGTGGTAATTATGACGAAATTCTCTCCATTAGGCAATCTTAGATTGGCCTTGATTCAGTTGTGGAATTTGATATAAAGTATTGAATGTACCAATGATGATATTCTTGCAATTTGTATGTTCTTTGTATCTCCAGATGTATTTACATATAATATTATGTATACTTACTTAAAACGGGATGGGAGGACTTTTTTATTGTATTTTTATTGTTTTTTTTGTTTTTTACGTGGTAGAGCCATGCTGTAGCTACATGAATAGTATAGTTGTAGCACGAATGTGTCGGCTCCACCGGGGAAGGACCACGCTCTCACTGAATACCAGCGTAAAATAGCAGCATAATGCTGCTGTGTTTCGTATGGTGAGTGTAGAGAACCGGAGATCTATTTTACTGGAAAAGAGGCATTCTACCTTAGTGCTCACAGCTGACAACGCATCTGCATTTTAATTCGCAAATAAAGATAGATTTAGATGTCTATGGGCCACGGCAACCACTTACCATCAGGTGGACTGTGTGCTCGTTTGTCACCCTTATTCTATATTAAAAAAAATGGATGGAATGAGGATTTATTTACAAAACTGAAATGTACAAATGAAGTTGCAGTCCATCTGTTGATGAATGGCTACTGCATTCCATGAGTACCTGCAGCCAACTTTGTACAAATAAAGCTAATGTTGTCTTGTCACCCCTGATGACTAAGATGTGTCATCAGGAAGCCTCACCGTCTGTTATTATACTAGCTTTTAATAAACAATAGATCAGAATATAGCAACGCAAGCACTGCTATTTGGCGACAGAATTAGCTTTACTACCTATCCAGACAGAATAGAATTCCTACCACTTATAACTATAATGTACTCTGTTACTAATTTAGATATCTATACAAATAAATAAAATTGAAGTGTCTGTTTGTAATGTCAAAATCACAGTGTTGTACTAAATGCATATGAAAGTAAATACGATAGCTATCACTAAAATATAATTTTTTAAATTTTTGTCTGTCTGTCTATCTGTTTGTTCCGGGTAATCTCCGAAACGGCTGGTCCGATTTTGACGGGACTTTCACTGGCAGATAGCTGATTTCATAAGGAGTAACATAGGCTACTTTCAATTTAGAAAAAGGATTAGGGTTCCGCGCAAAAACATAAAAACTCTAACCCGCGAGCGTAGTCGCGGGGAACGGCTAGTTATATCATAAAGCCTTAAATGTATGAAATACTAATATCTTTCACGTGTATAGACTGTAATGGTTTGGTGAAAAATAAATAAAGTACCCAATACGACGGCTCCGTGACGAAGTGGCTTAGCAATGACTTGCAGTGCTGGTGGTCGCAGGCTTGAATCCGGCATGGAACCAATACTTGTATGGACTACAAATAATTCCGGATCTGCATGTTTGTCCTTGTGCAATTTATGTTTGTAAACTGCCTCCACGATACAAGAGAAAATTCAAGTGTGAGGGTAAAATTAAAAAAAAAACTAATATGTTTAACATTATGTGTAAATTATTTTCAGTTTCAAGTCCCGCATTTGTAAATGGAGTCGAAAGAGTCTGTGCACTGACTGGAGTTGGACCCCACAGTGATCCAAAACTGCGATTGTCTGCTGTAGCTAAGATTCTAAAGACTTCACCACATCCAGACTATCCTAGAACTGAAGTCAGTGTAGTACAACAGCCAGCTGATGTTCTTAAGCTCCTGTTTATACAAGATCTTCGAGACTTGCAGACCAAGATCAATGAAGCTCTGGTTGCAGTTCAAAGTGTGACAGCAGATCCACGTACTGACACTTCACTTGGTAGAGTGGGTAGATAATTTTTCAGGGATTATAAATTACTCGAGTTTTTAATAACTCATAAAATTAATTAACAACTCCTCTCATAAATTTACATTTTTTTTATTTATCAACTGATTAAAAACACAATTACAATAATAATTGTTACAGTTTATAGCATTATTGCAGTTTATGTACATTTCCTTAAATAAATTGATAAGTATATACATTTTTAATTGTATTTTTGATACTTCCTTATATATGACGACGTCATAGACTGCGGAACGATAGGGTCGTCACCATCTTGGTTCGGTGGTATAGAAGTTTTAATCGGATAAACTAAAAAGACAATAACAGGTGATAATAATTTAATTAGGTAAACCGACAGTTTCGTTTTGGAGAAGTGACTTGGTCCGCGTCTCGATGCGAAGTGCTCGTTCGACAATCGCCACATTCCAAAACGACTCTGTCCAGGGGCCGCCATTACAAAATAGCGTCACGGCGTTTGCCCCACTACTACATTAATCAATTGAGCAACTTTTATTAATGTAATATCGTTATCCACGACATATATATATATATATATAGGGTGTTTGTAAAACGCTCTCGAAAACAGACAGACGATAGTACTAACGATACCTTTGATGAAGGGTCAAAAAAAAAAGTAGATCCCGAGGAAAAAAAAACATCTACTCATACGCTATGTCGTATTGTGGTACTTCCAGTTTCGAGCTTTTATTGTGTGCTGACCTCCATCTATCTGGATGTGGAGCTCCTTCACTCGTGAGATGATTCTTAGACTTTTGTGGATAAAATTAGTTCTTTCACCAATGAAGAGTGTGCTGATGTTGTTTACATGTACGGCAAGGCCGCAAAGCCGATGGAACTGGTTCTTTGGCATAATAATTATTGTATCAAGAACGTTATCCTGATCGTTGAGTGCCGAGCGTCAGTGTATTTCACAATACCTATTTTAGCCTTAGTGAAACTAGAAAGGTTCAACACTCAGAACCTGGAACTAATTCAGGTCGACCTGTGATTGAATTGTGAATGTAATAGTATTATGTGAGTAGGCTTTTTTATACTTAGTATTAAAAATAAATGTGATAGTCACTTCAACCAATCCATATTAGTGATTTATGTCTTCGGGATGATAGGAGCGATGGAGATGCTGGTTGCTCCATTCTGATCTCAAAAAAAATACTTATTCTTCTATATCTCTTCCTTCTCACAGCTCCATAATTAATGCTGTTGCAGTCAAGGCTCTCAACATATGTTTTCTGTCTGATCCTAATGTTACCATCTTAGATGAACTTTTTAATATAATTTTTTTAACTCTCCCTGTTGTTATCATTGGAGACTTTAATATTCACCATACTTCATGGGGCTCACATCACTGCGATTGTCTATCATCTGCATTTCTAGATATGATAGACGACTTTAAATCTTTGTATCCTTAATGATGGTTCTCCTACCCGCCGTGTTTCACCGTCTCAGAACATAAGGAGTGCAGTGGACTTGACTCTTTGTTCTCCTGGCTTAGTTTCCCTTCTATCAAGGAAAATATTACCAAATTCACATGGTAGTGATCACTACCCAATTTTTATCACATCTGTTGACTCTACAAGAGCAAATTCTGAATTCAACCCCAGGTTAAAATATAATTTATCAAAGACAGACTGGCATCATTACTCTTCTGTCTTAGATCAAGCGATATCAGCGATTCCTTCTTTGCATCATGAAAATGTACATTCAATCTATACAGAATTCAAAAATGCATTATTATCTTCCGCCAGTAAGACTATTCCTTTAAAACAACCCTACAGAAACAATTTGGCCTCACCTCCTTAGTGGTACCGGGATTGCACATCTGCTTGCAAAAAAAAAGGAAAGAGGCTGAATAAAAATACTCTTTATCAATGACCATGGAAAACTACATTTCCTATAAACAAATAGCAGCCGAAACAGTAAAATTACTATCTCAGAAGAAAAAAATATCCGGCTGGCATAGATTTTGTTCTACCTTATCTCCTTCCACACCTCCTTCTCCAGTCTGTAAAAATATTAAAAGATATCGCTGTTCTAAGGCAGTTGTACAAAATGTATCTTCCAATGACCCTTCAATTTGGCTTGAAGAATTTGATCCTCCTTCAGCGCCCACACATGCTGAATGTTTAGTTTTTAATTCTCCTTCTATACAATCTCTAGATAAATTTGATGTCATTAAGTGGTGATTTACCACGTGCTCAGCGGTGAAAGAAAACATCGTGAGGAAACCTGCATGTCTGAAAAATAAGAAAAAATATATTTCGAAGACATGTGAAGTTCGCCAACACTCATAAGGGCAGTGCAGCGGACACTTCCTTGTCCTAAAACCCTTTCAGAAATTAGGGGAGGCCTGTGCCCAGCAGTTGGACGTATATAGGCTGTAACTTTAACCTAAATACTATTTCTGTTCCTTTTCTGCCTGGATTCACCCGTTGTGTAAACTTAAACGTGCTACATAGGCAGTCAGTAACGTAGCTTGTGTATTGTTTATACTTGTTACGATTACAGGCATCGCGTGCAATTTAATTAGCAAATGTAATGTAATTCCTACCTTTATCGATATTTGTGATGAGACACAAGTGAGAAGTACCACTTACCAGTAAAGCAAGTGTCCCGTCTACTCTCGAGGAGTAGACGGGATTCCTTATTCATTGATCATTAAAAAAAGTAAAACTAAAACTGTATTTCTTGTCATTCTGAACCACATTTTTGTCTCAGGAATTCCTCCCAAAGAATGGAAGACCCAAATAATACTTCCTATTCTTAAACCGGGTAAAGCCAGTGAAGACTTTTCAAGTTACAGACCCATTGCACTCTCGTGTTCAATGGCAAAGATACTAGAACATCTGATAAAAAATCTGTTAGAATGGTTCCTAGAGAGTAAGAATGTTTTACCAAAAACTCAATTTGGCCTTCAAAAAGACTTTAAGCACTATGGATAGCCTCAGCACACTAGTAACTGACATCCGCATTGCTTTTTCTAAAAATGAATACCTTGTTGGAGTCTTTCTCGATGTTTCGTCCGCATACAATAATGTACTTCTTCCTGTACTCAGGCAAAAAATGGTCTATCTCTCTGTCTCCAAAAGCAGTATAGTGATTTTTACTCGCCGTAAGAATATCCCTGATACTCGAGTTTTATATAAAGGCTTAGATTAGACTGGTATACAGTAATCTGTGGCTTAGATAAGCCTTTATATAAAACTGGAATAATAGGGACCTTCCTATTCGAGTTGTGTATAAAATCAGGAATTTGCATTTAGAAAAACCCAAAATTAGGGGCTTTTAAAGTGCTAATTAGGTGCGTAACGCCGAAGCCGTTGCAGAAGTAACTATGTCAATATTCCTGCAACGCAAATTTCAACAGTTCGTTGCGGTGAAAATTTTAAAGCACTTAATTTTTAAACTTGGCCTCTATTTAGCGCTTAATTTTTAGGCACTGATAAAGAACATAAAATGCCGTTCATACCAGAACAATATCTTTAATCTTTCAACACTTAATTAGCACTTAATTCCTTGCTATTAATATTTATCGTATATCTAATAACTTCATTGCGTTGCTATGAAAATGCGGTGAAAATTTTAGAACAGCTAATTTTTAAACTTGGCACCTAATTTTGGATTTTTCCAAATGCGAATTGCCGACTTTCCGTTGCTGGCGAGACACAACTTCCTATTCGGGACAAGGTAAAATTTTAGGTATGGTACAAGATAAATACATAATAAATTATCCTTTACACACCACATTGAATACACTTCTAAAACGTGTGAGAAGAATATAAATATTCTTAGTCCCTTTCAGGAGTATAGTGGGGATCTGACCTCTTTTCACAAAAGCTATTATACAATGCTGTTATTCGTAGTTATTTAGATTACGGATGCTTTCTTTTAGAGCCATGCAATAAATCAACACCAGGCCTCTGTCACTCTTGCTACCTGCGTGAAATAATTACCTACAATCGCGAGCTGCCGCAGGGGTAGATCGCAGTCGGGGCTAGCGCCATCAACACTTATAAGATTAGATAAGATACAGTATAAATGTCTCCACATTATAATTGGTGCAATAAAAATCTTCGCTGATTTATGCCCTTCAGGTAGAGTGTGTTGTTCCTCCTCTCAACATAAGACGACAGTATCTTTCAGAGAGATTCTTCTCTAAGATCTGCCATCTTTCTTCTCATTCCCTAATTCTCGGGCTACACCTCCCAGAATTCTTATCTTCAAGTAGGTACTGGCTCCATAAAGATGGCCCACGTTTCTTTAATAGCTTAGTCTCGTTTCTCCAAATTCCTGGGTCCATTTTCTTATGCAATACAAGTTCACTCTTTAATACTCCTTTCAAAGCTATTATACATATATCAACCTAACATTTACCTTGACCTAGATATTAGAAAAGATTCGCCTGAGGCAGAATTAAAATTAAAAGAAGCCATAGGGAAAAATTTGAAAGATTGGATGACCATGTATACAGATGCATCCAAAAATACTGATGATGGTTGTACTGGTGCAGCTGTCTGGATTACCAAGTTTAAAATATTCCTTAGCTTTAAGTGCCCTTCATTATGTTCCATTTTTACTGCTGAGACAATTTAAATCCATGAAGCTCTGCTATATGTTGAATCACAAAGCCTAGACAAGACAGTGATTTTTAGTGATTCTAAGAGTTTTTTATCTGCTATTTTGGCTAACCAATTTCAAAGTAAATATAAATTTTCCTTAATTCTTGATATAAAAAGCATTCTGTATAGGTGTCATCATAAGGGGATTTTTGTCTGTTTAGCCTGGATACCTGGTCATAGTGGTATCTGTGAAAATGAAAAAGCAGATTGTGTGTCGGAAGTCATTCAATGAATGGGCGACAGTAGGAGTCCATAAGAGCAGGCATAGGTTATATGATCTTTACCATAAAAGGTCATATAATCATAGCGTCGAATTTAGGGAATATGTAAAAAAATATTTAGAAGAGTGTGCTCCATAGCCAAGTCTTTGCATTTGAGCAACAAAATTAAGACGGCTTCCAATAAAATTAAAATGACATGGAGTATAATTAATAGCGAAACTGGTAAGATCAACTCTCGCAATTCAAATTATCAGTTAAGTGTTAACAACAAATTAACTGTATCAGATCAGGACGTAGCAATGGTTTTTGAGAAATATTTTACTGATATTCCGATCTTGACCACTAAGTTACTGAATTCTTCTCCTTCCGTCGCCGAATCATTACTTAAACAAAATGTAAATGAGTGTACAATGAATTTTACATTTCATAAAGGGTCATCAAAAGATATTGTAAAATATTTTAAAACTATTGATGTTAAGAAAACTGCGGATCTGTGGGGGATTTCCGTTAAAGTTATTCTATTATAATTCGTCTATAATAGATACAATTGCGCCTCATTTAGCTATTATTTTTAATACTAGTATCGAATCTGGTGTGTTTCCTGATTTAATGAAGCATAGTAAAGTAATAACTTTATTTAAATTAGGTAGTACATTAGACCCCGCCAATTTTAGACCTATTTCTGTACTACCAACACTTAGTAAGATTTTTGAAAAAATTGTTCTTGAGCAAATGTTAAATTTTTTTAATATAAATAATTTACTTCATAAAAATCAATTTGGTTTCACAAGGGGTCGCTCGACAACTGATGCCGGTGTTGAGCTGATTAAATATATCTTTAATGCATGGGAGAATTCACAGGATGCTTTGGGTATATTTTGTGACCTATCCAATGCCTTCGATTGTGTTCACCATGAAACATTAATCAGGAAACTTCAACACTACGGTGTAAGAAGTGATGCTCTTAAACTAATTATTTCATATTTAAGTAAGAGAATGCAAAAAGTTGTCATTAACAATATGAGCTCTTCCGGATCGATGGTACAAATGGGCGTGCCTCAAGGCTCAATTCTCGGCCTCTTTCTGTTTCTTGTATACATTAATGACTTACCTTACATAGTAGGGGATAACCATGATATAGTATTATTTGCAGATGACACTTCTTTAATTTTCAAATTAAGTCGACAATTACTAAAATATGACGAAGTAAATAATGCTATATCTAAATTAGTAAATTGGTTCAATGTTAATAATTTGCATTTAAATGGCACTAAAACGAAATGTATGAAATTCATGACTCCAAATGTCAAACAATTAAATACTAATGTAATTTTAAATGGGGAGAAACTGAGTCTTGTAGATACCACCATTTTTCTTGGAATCACACTAGACGCGAAACTTCAATGGAGCCCCCATATATCAAAACTAGCAAGCAGACTTAGTTCTGCAGCATATACTGTAAAAAAGATTAGAAGTCTAACAAGTGTTGAAACAGCTAGACTAGTTTACTTTAGCTATTTCCATAGCATAATGTCGTATGGTATTTTGCTATGGGGACACGCAGCTGACACTGAAATTATATTTGTTTTACAGAAGAGGGCCATAAGAGCAATTTATGATTTAAAGCCTAAAGAGTCGCTGCAACAAAAATTTAAGGAAATTAATATATTAACTTTGGCCTCTCAATACATTTATGAAAATGTAATGTATGTACACAAAAATAAAAGTAGTTTTACAAAAATAAGTGATATTCATTCTGTAAATACTAGGAACAGACACAAGCTAGTAGTACCAGTTACTCAACTCCATCGAGTCAGTAATTCATTCTTGGGGCGATGTATACGCTTTTACAACAAAATTCCAGAAAATATACAAAGTTTGACCTGCTCAAAGTTCAAAAACTTTATTAAACTAAGTGTGTATAAAAAGGGTTATTATAATATTAAGGAATTTATGGATGATAATAACCCCTGGAAATGAGGTGATCGCTACCAAGCTATTTCTAATTTTTTGTATTGTTAATTTGTTTAACATCATGATTGTAAGCTGTTATTTAAAAAAAAAAGTAATTCAACAGATAAAATGAACCAAAATCATTCAAATAATATTTGTTGTTACCATTTCTTGTATTATCAATTTCCCTTTTTTAAGCAATTTGGGTCCCAATTAAACCTTTTCGCATGTAACATGTCATTAGCGAATTCATTGTAACCGCCATAAAGGAAGAAGAAGTAGCAAATATTTTTCAAAATTATTAACCATTTATACACAGTTTAAAAGTACAGAACATTTTTTTGTGTACAATCAAAATGAAATGATCTGCACTCTCGACCAACAATACAACTGGAAGAATCAAGCTGAATTCACACATCACAGTGTACTGACACCCTAAATTATCCACTTGAATGATAGACTAAGTGACCTAGATTTTTTAAAAATTAAGGGCGACAAACAAGCACAGAGGTCACCTGATGATAAGCGGATACTGTGATGTACCAAAAACATCTACATTTATCCTCTATTAAAAATCAAATTGCAGATGGAATGCCTCATATCCAGTAAAAAGGGTCTGTGGTTCTCTACACTCACCATATGAAACAGAGCAGTATTGAGCTACAATTTTACACTAGTATTCTGTGAGAGCATGGTCTTCCCCAGTCAAGCCCAATGAGGTAGAGCCATCTACAGCTATAAAATAGCTGCAGCATGGCTCTACCTCATTAACAGATTTGTATGACTAATTTGTACAAGTTGTACAGAAGTCCGAAGAGTACAATTTGCCACTATGTCTGGCGTATGTGGACTATGAGAAAGCCTTTGATTCCGTCGAAATTTGGGCGGTGCTGCAGTCCCTTCAGCGGTGCCAAGTTGACTGTCGGTATATCGAAGTGTTGAAGTGCTTGTACAGTAGGGCTACGATGGCTATTCGAGTACAGAACCAGAGTACGAAACCTATCCAATTGCAGAGAGGTGTAAGACAGGGTGACGTCATATCCCCGAAACTCTTCACCGCTGCATTGGAAGACGTTTTCAAGCTTCTGGACTGGAAAGGATACGGTATCAACATCAATGGCGAGTACATCACTCACCTTCGATTTGCCGACGATATAGTCCTTATGGCAGAATCGCTGGAGGACCTAAGCACTATGCTCAATGACCTCAATAGTGTTTCCCAACGGATAGGTCTTAAGATGAACATGGACAAAACTAAGATCATGTTTAATGTCCATGTCACACCTATGCCGATAGTTGTTGGGAACACTAAGCTCGAAGTTGTTGACGAGTATGTTTACCTGGGACAAATAGCCCGACTGGGTAAGTCCAACTTCGACCGAGGTCAATCGACGGATTCAACTCGGCTGGGCAGCGTTCGGGAAGCTACGACACATCTTCTCGTCAGACATACCTCAAAACCTTAAAACGAAATTGTACAACCAGTGCGTGTTGCCAGTGATGACTTACGGAACTGAGACGTGGTCCTTCACTGCTGGCCGTATGAGGAAGCTCAAGGTCGCTCAGCGAGCTATGGAGAGGGCTATGCTCGGAGTTTCTCTGCGTGATAAACTTAGGAATGAGGATATCCGCAGTAGAACCAGAGTGACCGACATAGCCCAACGGATTAGTAAGCTGAAGTGGCAGTGGGCCGGCCATATAGCTCGAAGAACCGACAACCGATGGGGAAGAAAGGTTCTCGAGTGGCAGCCTCGTACCGGTAGGCGAAGTGTAGGGCGTCCCCCCACGAGATGGAGTGACGACCTGGTAAGACATGCAGGAAGTCGATGGATGCAGGTGGCTCAGGACCGTGTTTTGTGGCATTCTTTGGGGGAGGCCTATGTTCAGCAGTGGACTTGTGAAGGGCTGTAATGATGAAAATGATGATGACTAATTAATCTTGAATGATAGGGTCACTGGAAATTAACAATTATCACATATTTATGACAGAAACTTAATATATTTTAATTGATTTCAAGGTTTGTTTTTAGAGATAATTCTGAAACATAAAACTATACAACCGTAAAAGCAATTATTTTTTATTCATAACAATTTTACAATAGGAATAAATGTAATAACCTATAATTCTTTCTTCATAAACTACAAAGATATCTTAACTAAACAAAACCCATGACGATAATGTAAAACGCTAATAGTACCTACTAGAAATCTTTTCAGTGCATACCCCCTCCTTTCTCTAACATTTGAGCAAACCTATTTGTGATAAGAAGTGAAACATCAATAAATCTCTCGACACAGTTTGTCATACAGGTCTCTGTACGAGAATCCAATTTTGATCCTGGCTTGTCCACACATTTATCCCAGCAAAAATCGTTAAACTCGTGTATCTGAAAAATTATATGATGAAACTGTGAGTTACAATGAAAAAACTGCATTTAAAAACAAACAGTGTAGAAATTATTTAGTAGCACATAAATGGATCATACATTAACAAATTTTATTCACACTTTTTAATTTGATTCAATTTTTTTACTGACAAAATAATTAAAATATATTTGGAATTGAATGAATAGTTACTTGGGCATGAAACTGAGCTTTCTGCTTCTCAGCCATAAGAAACTCCTGTAATTCTGAGTCAGCGCCTTTTGTACTTGAAAAGTCGGATAGATCGCTCATTTTTTTTTTTTTGTATAAATAACGTTAATAAATTTATTTTAAAGATTGTACCAAAAAATAAGTTTAGAATTTACAATTTAGAAATTGTCAAATTGACTGTGGCGCAGAGACCAGAGACAGATTCGTTATTGTTACAATTCGCCAATTATGGCAGACGAAAGCCTTATACCATACAGCCCACTCTTATATTTTATTTATGAAAGTACTGATTATATAGCTATATCACAGAATAAATAATAGTACAAGAACAGAAGGATCACTCTGATAACAAACTTGCGAGTTAAAACTAAGTTACAACGTCGCTAATGTTCATAATACTTTGCACGCCCTGAATACAACCTTGGTTAAAATAGCCTACGGATTAATTAGTCGAAAAAAAATTAATGCGGCGCTCGTATTAAATCATAATGCACCTTACGTCCGCGAGAGATGCGAGAGTCTGTATCACTTAGCCCGTTACGCACCTTTGTTAAGGCTGTTTCTACTGTATTCTTAGGTGTTGTGAGAAAACAAATTGAAAATTGAATGCTTTGATTTTAGTTGGTAGTAGAATACACCAAGGTGTAAAGCATTATATTATATATATGTTATTAGTAATATACTGATAAGAACATTATTGTTTAATGTGAGGCAGGTTAATATGCAACATCGAGATAAATTAAGATTATAACAACGTGAACATCTTTGAAACTCACATAATTTTCCTACTTACCATTTTAACCGACTTCAAAAAAAGGAGGAAGTACTCTATTTGACTGTATTTTTTTATGTGTTACCTCAGAACTTTTGTAGGTGAACCGGTTTTGATTATTCCTTTTTTTTATTTGAAAGCTGGTGCTTATAATATATCCGAGTCAGAATCCGAGCTGTCGCTGTAATCAAGCGCCACAATGTTGCGCGCTAAGCTAATTTTTTGCGAGCAATTTTGGCTCTGAACGTATTGTAACTTGTTTTATTTCAATTTTTATTGGTAGCAGTATATATGCCACTGCTCGCTTACTGTTTTGTTTTGGTGGCAGTATAAATGCCATTGCCTGTTTGTGTTCCAGGCATACCTAAATGATGATGATATTGAGAATGAGCTGGAGCGAATGTTTATTTATTTATTTGTTTATTTATAAGGTCTACCAGCGATTTTACAATACGTACGTTACATACATTTCTTATAGTATAATTACTATATTACTTGCACAGAGTATGTAAAATCATTTAAAGGTAAACACTACACGCTATTTTTGCTAGTATTAGTGTATAAATATGAAATAAGTTAATAATAGAAAAAGAAAAAACAAAATCAGAAACAAACAAAAAAACACAATAGTAATTTTGGTAATAGCATGAGAAACCTTAACTATTTAAACAACAAAATAGATTTAATCAAACTAATAATTTGTCTTTCAATTAAAATTACAACTTAATTAAACAACTATCATAATCTAACCCAACCAAATATATGTTATAAGAAATTAAAAGAAAATATACGTAATAATTAATATGAGAAAAAAAAATCACACTCAGGATGACTGCTGACTAGGTTGCTGATAATTAATTTTAGACTGGTATACAGTACTCTGTGATTAATTTACGAAAGGTGTTAAGCGAATTAATGTTGATGTCAATTAACTGACTGAATTTATTATATATTTTACATAAACGAGGGATTGTGGAGTTGGCGCGAAATACCGTCCTGGTGCGTGGAGGCATGACCGGAGTAATAGCAGTACGCGGATATCGTGGTACTCGAAAATTAATTTTACTTAGTAAACTGGGGCAGTCTATCTTATTACTTAGTCATTTGTATAAAAACATTAAATCTAACAATTCTCTTCTTTGGTCAATAGTCATGATGTTAAAGTATTTTAGCCTTTTTTTTATAAGACACCACCGTTTTTTTAATCTTCGCTGAGTATGATAGATGCCAAATGAATCTTTTCTGTACACACTCCAGTCTTAAGTAGTGTATAGAATAATGTGGACGCCATACAACGCTACATTACTCTAAGTGACTGCAGCCAAGGCTGTTGTAAAGACAGATTTTTGTTTTAGCTTCTTTAAAAGTTCGACCTTGTCGCATAATAAAACCTAACAATTTAAAAGCTTTGTTTATTACACTTTCTATGTGGTAAAGATAAGTCAATTTTTTATCAAGTATTGTATCCAAGTCTTTCACGAGCTCAACTTCCTTAAGACTATTACCGTATAATTTATATGTCGTTGGCGTAATATTATTTTTTCTAGTAAATTTAATATGAAGGCATTTACTGCAGTTGAGTTGCATGCCATTAGATTTACACCAGTTGGTTAGTTTATCTAGATTGCTCTGTAATAAAATCGAATCCATTGGTGAACAAATTGATCTCGTTGTTTTCAAATCATCGGCATATAAATATGGTGTGGAATTTTCAAAACAAGAAACAATGTCGTTTACAAATAAGTTAAACAAAATTGGGCCAAGATGTGAGCCCTGAGGTATACCTGATGTTACCAGATTGGTTGAAGAGCTAAACCCATTAACAACTACATAAAAAGAACGGTCGTGTAAGTATGATGAAAGCCATTTTAGCACCGGACCTGAAAACCCATAATACGATAATTTTTCAATAAGTATTCCGTGTGGAACTTTGTCAAATGCCTTTTTAAAATCTGTATATATGGTATCCACCTGCTTCTGCTAATGTTGTACTGCTTGTGTATTTAAATTCCATATTTACACTGGTAAAAATGAAAACAATACACCGGAGTTAGGTCTGGGTGCTAATGTTGTCAAATCCTTGACAAAAACTCTAATTGACGAGAAAGTTCCAGCGCCCGTAGCTTTCGACTATTTTTTTGCCTCCTGTCTCTTGATGTAATACCTTTATGACAATGGGATTTATTCTACTGCCACTGTCAATATAAATAGAGCTGATTTAACGACATTCGTAAAGGCTAAAAAAACAGTAAAGTAAAGCTTGAAAGAGGAAATTAGAAACGGTGAGTGAAGAAAGATGTTGGATTTATGATTTGGAAAGATACAATAAATGTTACATTGTTGAGTACAGCTTTCTATCCTAAAGAAAAGACCGTTTGTCAGAGAACGATGAAGGATGGCTCAAAGAATAATTTCCAATGCCCTTTGGCAATTACTGAATATACAAAGAGAATGGGAGGTGTCGATCGGTTCGATCAAAAAAGAAGCAGGTATGAGGTTGGACGAAGGAAAGGCGTTGGTGGTGCAGGATTTTTTATTTCCTGATCGACTTGGGGTATTACAGATGAAAAATTTGGGAAAAATTTGGGATGTGCAAGCTTGATTTAGAAAGGGGATGGGGTGTACGGATCAAGTCTTTTCCATGCGCATGATAGCGGAGAAGTTTTTGGCTAAAAACCAGAAAGTTTTTTGTGCGTTCTTGGACTTGGAAAAGGCTTATGACAGAGTGGACAGGAACGTGTTATGGCAAACACTGAACTCATTTGGGTTGAGCGCTGGCTTGATACAGGCATTAAGGTCTCTTTATAGGGACTCTAGTGCTTGTGTCAGGATCAACGGCGTCTACTCGGACTGGTTTGGTATTCATAAAGGTGTCAGACAGGGATGTGTGGTTTCCCCATGGCTGCTTAACCTATTTATGGACAGTTGTTTGCAAACTTTGAAAGTTGAAGAATGTGGGTTGAGAATGGGTGAGTCAACCGTCAAATGCCTTTTGTACGCCGATGATCAAGTCATATTTGCATCGTCGGCGGCCGAGTTGCAAATGATGGTTACTTTAATGAATTGGTCATTGAAAGAAAGGGGTATGAAAGTGAACGCAAGTAAGACGAAAGTGATGGTTTTTGAAAGAGAAGAAAGTAAAACTTTATGTGAAATAAGAATAGAAGGGGAGTTGATTGAGCAAGTGGATGAGTTTGTATATTTGGGATGTTTATTTAGCAGGGATGGTAGATATGATAAGGATATAGAACGACGAGTGAACGCAGGAAATAGAGTGAATGGGGCTCTAAACGCTATTGTGAGGAGTCAGAATGTGTCAACTAAGGCATGTATGGCAATTCATAATGCTGTGTTAGTACCCACTTTAATGTATGGTAGTGAAAGTTGGGTCTGGCAGAAAAAGCATGAGAGTAGAATAAATGCTGTAGAAATGCGTTCCTTAAGGAGTATGCTAGGGCTGAATCTGAATGACAGGGTGAGAAATAGTGTAATAAGAGAAAAGTGTGGTTTGCAAGATGACGTTGTGACAAGGATTAAGAAAGGAATGCTTCTGTGGTTTGGTCACGTAGAAAGAATGAACGAGGAAAGAGTGACAAAGCAAATTTATGTTGCAGAAGTGAACGGCAGGGTCGGGAAGGGACGCCCTAGACGAAGGTTTATCGACCAAATCGGCGATACATTAAAAATGGGCCAGATTAGGAGTACCCTTAACCGACGAGCGTGTATGCGTAGATATATGGATGTAAAAGAGGCGAGAGAGGTGTGTCAGGATCGCGCCAAATGGAAGTCCGTAGTCTCTGCCTTCCCCTCTGGGTGACAGGCGTGAGTGTTTATGTATGTATATGTATTTAATATTTCGTATTGCACTCTAATTCTCCGAGAAATCATAGATGCTTGTCGAATCTACAATTTCGCATCGCAATTGCTAGATCGCTCATAGAAAACTACACGTCCGGAAAGAGGAGTCTATCTAACGAACCCAATTTCATTGCAAAAAAGAAGCAAGGTACTGTCAGTACCAACTATCAAAAAGTTGTAGGAGTGCAAGACGATATACGTTACCAAGATGTTGGAAAACACTTGATATATAAGTCTGACACACCGCGCAGATGCGGTTTATGTACTACAAACAATGATATTATATATAAAAAAGAGGTAGATATCGCACTAGTGCGCGCAAGTTGTTGCAGACAAATTAAGACAATTGTTGTAATTTTATTTAGTCGGCCAATAGCAGCGAGCGAAACAAAGCGTGTCCGTGGCGTGACAATATTGACAATAACATATCCAAAATGCCAAGTTGTGTCTTAAGAAAGTATAAAAACTATGGTTCGAAGATAAATAAGAGTGAAGGAATTTCATACCATACGTAAGTATAATAAAATAATATAACATATTTATATTTTGTCACGATTTTATTTGTCATATTCAAATAAATGTTGAATTGTTAATATGGTGGTTCGAAAAGGATAGAGAATATGATGGCAAATATAGCGCGACAAGGACAAATAGAATGCGTCATAGATTAATAACCAAAAGCGAAATCGTAGGTACAATACATAGCCTTCGTTAGCCGCTTGATCGCGAGTTTTCTTGTTGGTTATAACAAGATATAATATAGCGAGTGCCTTTCTAACATAATGTTATAATCATCATAGTAAGTTCTGGCTTTCAACGTTTTATAATTAAGATGATATAAAATAAGATTAGTAATAACGGGCTATTTGATATTTTATTAGTAAAATTAAAATTTATGTAATGTACCTAGATAGAACATAATTTTTCTCATTATGTTATATTATTTTCCAGATTTCCGAGTGATGATTTTACAAAACATAAATGGGTCAGCATAGTTCAGGCGGAAAGAAGTGAACATGACTGGATGCCTACAAAAAGTAGTACAATTTGTTCTGCATATTTTAATCATGAAGACAAATATACGACTTCGAAAGGATACCTGCGTCTAAAAAAACTGCAGTACCTGTGACCTGTGATAGCCTCGGTAAAATTTATTATTATAAAAATCACGATACTTCATTATTTTAATAAAAAACGGTCTTTAAACTTCTGTAATTTCAATTTTACAACTATTGTGTGTAACAGGGCAATTTAAGTTTATTTTATTTTATTTAGGGATCACAAACATTTTTGTCCCGTGTAGGAGTCGAACCCACAGCACTTGGAGCAGCGTTACTAGTGGCTCTTAAATCACTAGACCACCTGTGCAGTCAATTTTGGTTAATTAATTAGTACTATCATTCTTGTATAATTTACCGTAACAATTAAGACAATTTCTTCTTTTTCAGGACAATGATGATGTTCCGAAATTTGGCTCACCTACCAGTCTGGACCATGTAAATATATCCGACGTCGATTCCGTGTTCGACACTCCTAGAAAAGCAACGCTTAAGAAGAGAGTTCGTAAATTAGTTGTTGAAAAAGAAATGTTACAGAAAAAAAATAATGTTCTTAAAATTCAAAATAACAGATTAAGGAAAAAAATAACAAGCATGAAAAATATTTTAAAGGCATTGAAAAAAAAGAATTATCTTACGGAACAGCAATTTTCGGAACTTAACCTAAAAGCAGAACCATTAAACTTATTTAACAGAATGCTTCAAATAACAAAATCTACGAAAATTTTTAGAAAGAAATACCCAGCAGCTCTTCGCAAATTTGCGTTAACTTTAAATTACTACTCCTCAGCGACGTATAAATACGTTAGGCGAGTATTCCATGCTGCTCTGCCTCATCCCCGCGTTTTCGCTAAATTGTACCAAAATAGTTCTATGTTGCCATGTTTTACAAAACAAGCATTTGATATCTTAAAACAAAAAAGTAATTTGTCTAGAAACAGAATTATTTGTGGTCTGATTGTAGACGAAATGGCTCTCAGGCATCAAACTCAATGGACTGGCAAAAATACAGATGGATTAATAAATTATGGTTCTGGACCCTCGGAAAACAAAGAAATTGCAATAGAAGCATATGTTTTTATTTTAGTATGTCTAAGTGAAAATTGGAAAATTCCTGTAGCTTACTTTTTGTCAAAGGGTTATCATCAGAGACGAGGGCTACTTTAATTATGGATTGTTTAAGACATAGTTACGCAGCAGGTGTTGACATAGTGAGTTTGACTTTTGATGGTTGTGCTACTAACTTGACTACTGCAACACTTCTAGGCTGTAAACTGAACGTCATTGATAATTTAAAAACTATATTTAAACATCCTGAAACAAGAAAAGAAGTTGCAGTTTTCCTAGATCCATGCCACATGATTAAATTGGTGCGCAACAGTTTTGAAGCGAAGTCAGTTATTTTTAATAATGATAATAAAGAGATAAGGTGGCAACTATTAAAAAATCTAAACAAACTTCAGACAGATCAGGGTTTAAATTTTGCCAACCGACTTACACAACGGCACTTAAACTTTCGCAATGAAATTATGAAAGTCAAACTAGCCACACAGCTTTTAAGTAGAAGTGTCGCAAATGCTTTGCAGCTTTGCGAAGATACACTTCGTTCATCAAATTTTAAAGATTCGGGTCCTACTAAAGAGTTCATAATACTATTTAATGACTTGTTCGATATTTTCAATTCGAGAGCTCGTGACAAATTTGGTTTTAAAAAGCCTGTTAGTCTGGGTATTGCGGAAGAAATATTTGCTTTTTTAGAAAGGGTTAAAAAATATATACTTGAATTGCGCATTTACAATAAAAACAGAATTACCCGACGTGGACATGTATTTATGAAAATAACTAAAAAGAAGCTCGTACAGTGTAAATCTAAAACCGGTTTTTTAGGATTTTTGATTTGTATCGAAAGCCTTAAATATTTATATACGTCTCTTGTTCAAAATGAGACACGACTGAGCTCCTTTTCTACATATAGGTTCAGTCAAGATCATATTGAAATTATGTTCGGAGATATACGTCGACATGGAGGGTATAATAATAACCCAAACACAATCCAATTCAAAGGAATTTATAAAAAAAAATTCAATTATTTGGAATTACGATCTTCCTTTACAGGTGCTCATCCGCAGTAAAAAACATAAATAACACGTGTAACGGACGGGTTCTTGATGAAAATTCGATTAAGGATTATATTATTAAGTTAGAAAGTGATAAAAAATCGGAAGAATATGTATCTATTATGACAGATTTACTTAATAAAGAGCATCACTCGTGTAGTGTGGAACAAATAATAGGATATATTTCAGGCTGGGTATCTAGAAAACTTTGTGGAAGTTTAAAATGTGAAGCGTGTCGTTCCTCCTTATTCACGAATGAAAAGTTATGGTTTCATAAACTCGTCACTCTTAAAGATATGGGTGGTTTGTGTTTTGCGTCACATGATGTTTTTATAGTTTGTTTACAATCAGAATATATTTTAAAGAAATTCATTATAGAAAATGGGCCCTATTTCAGTAATCCTATACAGTACTTTAAAACATTTTTTGCAATCCAATGTATTCGATACTTTGTTTGAACATTCCATGAATCAAACCCCTACACTCAATCATAGACTGCAACTTATTAGAGCTATTATACAAAAGTATCTGAACGTCCGTTTGCATCATGAGCACAAAAATAATTCATTAATTAAAAGCATATCAAAAAGACAAAAAAGAAATAAGTTGAACTTATTTGAAGGTAAATAACTAAGAAATAAAAAATTTAAATCTCATCGGCCAACTCAACTTCCAAATTTAAATACTTAGTACTTATTCGGGTCATAATCTAACTCCGAGGCCTCTTACTTAAAATTAAGAGGCTCCTATTTGCCAAGTAGCGCAACCATCAGTAAAAAAAAAACGTAAACAGTAAATTATGTAGGTATTCGATAAGTAGGTACATAATTTATCGAAAATACGATTGATTGAACTCAAATTTATTTAGAATTTGTGAATAAATATATAACAATATTGTTTATAGTTTTATTTAATATATCATTACCAGTGTAATATGCCTATTGTTATATTCAATGTCTCTTCTGTGGCAAATCCGCATACTCTATAATTCAGTCGTATACTTCAAGCGCAATACACTACAGACAGTTATCTCTTTCTGTATTTTACGTTCCGTATTATCTATCGCAGTCGTAGTTGAAAATTACTATACACGTACATGTAAGTACGTTTGTTAAAACAACGCAACGATATCTGAACGCCGCTCAGTATGAAGGTAGCGTATCTTTCCTTTATAATATCATTGACTACAAAGACAAATAATGTAAGAAGTAAGTTTTCATGTACGACATGTAAAGTATTTTTGTGTGCTTACCCTTGCTTTACACAATTTCACACAAAGAACTGAAGAGTACGTTAGATAAGTATAACTTATTCTGAAACTTATACTTAAGTATTACCTAAAATAAATCAAAAACCGCCATAAAAAAAGAAAGAAGAAGAAGAAAATAAAATAAAGATAGCTACCAAATTATGTAAAAACCAGAAATTTTATGGATCTCAAATAGTCTCTAGTTGATTGATGTTGCTATACCATAATAACTATGAACCAAAGATGTTTTATAGGTCCAGATACCGTGTTGCTAACACACCGCAACGTTCATAGTGAAGCGTAGATAGAGGATTGACTCGATTGATATGTAGTGAAGACAGTCTTTGATTCATGTGTGCGTGAGTACCACGTGACGCGCATATCTTACGCACCATGGCTGCATTAATGTAATGTAATGACTTCGGTAATAACAGTGCGAATCGATTACTCAAAAAATGTGGGAGATTTTATATTTCATTCCTATTGACGTACCTTTTGATTATAAGAGTATAAAATGTGTGTGCGTGGCGTGTGCATTTGTGTGTGTGTGTGTGTGTATGTATGGGGATATGGTTGCTTATGTGTGTTTTATGTAGGTACGAACATCGCACTAAAATATTAAAGATATGTAATAAAACCTATAATTAATGTAACAGTTAAAATAAATAAAAAAGCACAGTAGATATTTATGTATGTAACATATATTTATAATCTATTATTACTAAATATATACAGAGTACTACACTTTTGTACTGTAGAACACAAAATATTGCCGCTTTTTACGAAGACATTAAATTATTTTTCAATCCTAAGTAAAATGACGAAAAAAAGTAAGTTTGGTTAAGTGTAAACTTCAGCCAAGAGATAGCAAAATGTTTAATTTTTTAAATTGCTCCGTTCCGTTGCTGCGTGAAGGAAGGACAAAAACAAATAAACAAAAAAAAATCACACTTTCACATTTATAATATTATATTAGTATGAATTGTCAAGAATGATAGATAAACTTTTAAAACCGGTTTACAGTCGGCTTTTTGAGGGTGGAACTATACCGGTTACTACTATAACGGTTCTGAGCGACTAAAAAGGATAGAAGCACAGGAAAGTGCAATTTCATGCTGCCAGATGTAGTTCAACCCTTACCCTTAAAACGGTTTAACTCTATAGGTTGGGTAAAATCTGTAAAATTAGACTGTTTAAAACCCCTATACAGATAACCCTTGTGGTTGATCATGACATTAAAAAATGGTAAAAACATTTCATAGACTAGGCAACACTCGAATATTATTACTTGTTTGACATTTAGCTTTCGTATTCTTTTACAAAGAAATACACCATAAAATTGTATAGTTACTTATGAAAAGTGATGTTCTTATCCTTATCTTTTTTCCAAGAGTAATTTTTAAATGATTCCACAGCACAAACAGTCATTTTGCGAAATTAAAAACACCGGCACGTGACGAATGTTCACAGCGAACGTCGCTGGCGTAATGGCGGAACGATCGAACGAATACGCCAATATTGGCGCCTTTGAAATGGAAGCGTTTTAGGCGCGCGTACACGGTATTTGGACTTATAAAACATCTTTGCTATGAACATAATTTTCTAAAAATAAATATTGTGTTGTCAAGTACTTACTGTTTTATTTATAATTAAAAATGAATATTAAAGGTATAGTTAACGTAACTTCCTTAAATTTACAGAAATATCACTCCTCTAGTATGGGCAGAGGCGTGTATACTGCCACCAAATTTTCCACATATTTCCCAACGTTTTTTCCGAGTTGAAAAAAATGTCAAAAATTCTTAAAAAAATGTTCCCATTAACATACTGAAATTTCGTTTTCGTACCACTTCTGGTTTTCTCGGCCTTATAAATGGTTAAGCTGTACTTGGGGTAAAAAGTCGAAAGAAAAAATAAAAGTAAATTCCAATTACCACCCCGTTTGGGGTGGATAGATGAGCACGCGTTTCCGAGTATCTCTAGAGTAGAGATAAACGGAATAACCCCATTCATCCATTGCAGTCTGTAAAAGTCCAAACCTGAACATAGGCATCTCCCATAAATTGCCTCATAAGGGGGATTTTGCCATACAGTTGCCACGCTTGGTAGGCAGGTTGGAAACCGCAATTTTACTAAAACTGAGGTATTATCAGGAAGCCCATATCCTGTTTTAGTTACCTACCCTCTGTTGCCTTTTACGACACCCACGTGACGATATGGCGTAATGGATATTCTTACACTTACGCAGTCTTTATTAATGTTATTCTGTTGACAGCGAATTTAAAAAGGCATAAGTTGTCTTTATAGAAGTGAATTTGGAGAAGCAGAGCAAAGAAAAGTTTATCAAAACACCTCTGTGCGCTAAGATGAAATTATTCACCCTCTGTTATTATTTTTGCAGTCTATTAAAGGTTCTCTGTGTTCTCCAGACCCTTCAGAACAAAGAAGAGCAATCATTGCTATTTAAACGCAACAGAGCTTGAGTCTTACCACATAGTAGCTTCAGGTCGACTTAATATTTTATTCTACGCCAGTAACCTTCATTCAATCCCTTTCTTTAATTCCTCGCCTTAATTTGATCTGAGAGAGAGAAAGATTGATTGGGAGTGAATTAATTTTAAAGTGTGCCACCTAAATTTGCAGGAATATAATTGCGTGACAGGACGGCCAGCCAGATATCTGTAAACGTCCACTGCTGAACATGGGAGAGATTGGGTATATTTCTTTTACAATAATAATCCATTTAAGGTAGACCAGTTTATATAGTGCCATCATTGATCCAACAGTGAACTTGTGTACAACAACTGATAAAGATATATCCTGTGGCAAAGGGAGTAATGTAGCAAAGTGAAATTATCAAAATGATTAGTCACTGCGTTATCGAGCCATTATCCGAATTAATGCGCTAAAATGATTATATTTTTTTTTAATTATTTATTTATGAACAACCACTATAGCTTTTGAAAACTGCGAAATAATAATAAGTTAACCCTAACAGATTAATATCTTCGTACTCTGATTGTGTAGGTACTCTGATGAGTTCCTACACAATCAGAGTACGAAGCTTATCCAACTATAGAGAGATGTAAGACAAGACAACGTTATATCCCGAAACTCTTCACCTTGGATGACGTATTCTAAAGGACTGGAAAGGATACGGTATCTACATCACTGGCGAGTACATTACTCATCTTCGACTTGGTGACAATATAGTTATCTGCCATAATAACTTGCGGTGAAAGTTTCACAATAATCGGTTTAGCCCTTCATTCGCTTCTTAGCTTCGCTTTATATATCAAGCGACAGACACAAAATATGCAAATGTTTCTTCTTTATAATATTAAGCATGATTTTCCAAGGTATCAAAAAGCTTCAATAAAATACGTTTGATTAAATTGAAAATGTCATTTACTTGTTACACACAATTTTTATCAATAAAATTCTGCACTTTGTCGCTCAGTAATTTTCGTTTATCTTCCGCAAAAATATATTTAATAGCATTAAGTGCTAAACTTGCTATCTTCACTTTATCTAACAAAAATGTATCTAAACAAATTCTGTATTCTTGCGAAAGAGATGTTGCAAATACTCCTTTATCATCTGTCTGGGAATAAAAATATTAAATATTAATTATTTATAATAATATTCGTTAGGATCCGGTTTAATTTTTTTACGAACTTAATTACTTACACAAAGAATGACAGGTATATTAGCATCATATAAATATTTAAAATGATGTGAAGAGTAATCTGGGGCTGACTTGGTATTAACATTACTTGTTAGGCAAACCTCTGTAAAAAAAAAAATGCTATTACCTATTAGAGAAGAATAACGTGTGTAGAATATCCTCTACCACATAGTATCGTCCCGTAGGTGTCGGACGCGATTACAGAGTGTAATAAACCAGGAGATAAGCAGTATTGCTTCATAATAACAACTAAAAATTTACCGTTTATTTTTAGTTGTTATTATGAAGCAATAACAACTAAAAATAAACAGTAATTGCCACCACGCATGCCAAACGTGGCAACTATGGCAACATCCCCCCATTAGCAACGATATAAAAGATGATCCTCACTCCCCGCCCGCTCGCAATTCCTGGCTACCTCCTCCATTTGCCACTCGACCTGGCTATATTATAATTAACCCATGAAAAGAGGGAGAGGACCGTGTCCTTCGGCAACTTGTTCTATCACCGGGAGGCCGTCCGTGTGCCCCAAAAAGGTGTTGGATTTATCGTCCATAAGTATATCGTCAACAACGTTGTGAAGATTGGCAGTGTGTCGACAAGGTTTTCGTACCTTATACTCGGAATCATCAAATGGTATTCGTTGAAGGTGATTCAGGTTTATGCACCAACCTCAGCAAATCCCAATGAGGAGGAAGCGGTATGAGGATATATATAGAACCATACATTCTTCCAATACCGTAATGATGGGAGACTTCGACTCAAAACTGGGCTCAGGAAAAGTCGGTGTGCTGAAGATAAGGAAATTTGGCATACAGCCATGGACCTCCAAGGAGTACAGTATAAATGACAAATTCGTGGAAACTATCCATGTGATTACCGCAGAAGCATAGAGCAGAAAGATGGTGTGGTCTTGTTCGTCAAGAAAGGCGACAACGCTATATAGAAGCACTACAAACAGACTTTCATTCAGAGTTGCGTCTACATGCTCTTTTCGCGAGTAAAGTTCGGCCGTTCAGAGAATGCGTTCCTGACACGTCGCGATTGAACTGACGACGTAACTTTGTAATGGCATTGCAGTTACGATAAAAATATTTTTGCTGGTTGTTTACCGTTTTAACAATTGATGAGTATTAAAACAACATTATTATATCAATAATCAATGAATGTTATAATTTTGTGCCAAACTGAGTGTCAAATAACTTGGTAAACAATATTTTTCTAAATCTATACTGCGCTATTACAAGGTTATGTCAGCGTTTTATATTTGTAGTGCTGTGCTAACAATAACAGGCAATAACAGTATCGTAATCTGTTCTTATACAGTTATACTTTATAAAATAATACGTTTTGTTTTTCTTTTTAAGAATTTGAAAATAATGGACTATAAGATAACTTTTATTAAATATAAAAATAAAACTACGACCAAACCGAACGCGCGAAAGTAAGTAGCATTTTTATATTTAGGTTGAAAATGGTAACCCCAAATGGCGTTATGGGCCGCCATTTTGTGACGCTAAAACAGTCGTCTGTTGTCGTTTCGTGCGCATAGATCACGTTCTTCAAGTGTTTTCGATCTGTTTTTATTTGATTACCCGGCTTTCGTTTAATGGACTGTTTCTGCTTTTCAAACTGACTTCGGCGCTAAATCGGATTTTGATTGTGTTTTGTATTGCGTTCTTTTTACTTTTGGTGCATAATAATGCCTAAACGTGGACAAACATTGAAAAGTGGAGCCCGTGAGTTAATCATCAAGCTGCAAGATTACTTTGAGCGGGAGCAGCAAAATGGCGGACCCCTGTTACCTGTCGAACAAGTACAAGAACGCGTCTCTCAGGCGCTTGGAGTTAGCAAACGAACGATAACAAATATTAATAAAGAAAAGTTCGGCTCTACTGGCACGGAAGATAATATTTTACGTACTCCGAAGAAGAAACGTAGAACTAAACCCGTGACAGATATTGACACCTTTGACGCCGATGCAATCAGAAATCATATATATGGTTACTATTCCAGAAATGAATATCTCAACAGGAAGAAGCTTTTGGCATCGTTAAGAGAAGCTGGACTCTTTAGCGGGGGTAAAACTGCTTTAACCAAAATCTTAAAAGATATTGGTTTTTCGTATAAAAAAACAGACAAAAGAAAAATTTTATTAGAACGATACGACATAATTTTAAAACGGATAAGTTTATTGAGAGAAGCAAAAAATATTGATAAATGGGATAATGTCGTGTTCATTGACGAGACATGGCTAAACGCCAATCACACGGTGTCCCGTTCTTGGACGGATGATACACAAACGTCGACGTTGAAAGTACCAATGGGTAAGGGGGCCCGTCTGATAATATGCCATGCAGGTTCTGCAAAATACGGCTTTGTGGAGAACGCGTTTCTACTGCGAACGTACTGGCATTTCAATCAAAAACCACAAATGACTACCACGAGGAAATGAATGCCACTACATTTAAAGAGTGGTTCCAGAACGTGCTTTTGCCCAGCCTACCAGAGCCTTCTGTAATATTCATGGATAATGCCTCTTATCACTCGGTTCAAATACAGAAACCACCTACCCAAGCTAATAAAAAAGAAGAAATGGTGGCTTGGTTACAAGCAAAAGGCATTGACGCAAATATTCAGATGCTAAAACCAGAGCTAATTAAATTAGTTAAAGAAAATAAAGCGGCAAATGTGCGATACGAAATCGATGAACTGGCTCTGGAGTACGGTCATCGCGTTCTAAAAATTCCACCGTATCATTGCCAATATAACGCGATTGAGTTAATCTGGGCTCAAATAAAAGGCTACGCCGTCCGCCACAATACTTCCCCGCCATTCAGCACGAAAAAGATGATGACCCTATTAAAAGAAGCCTGCGGGGAAGTCATAAGAGATGACTGGGCAAAGGTTGTTGAGAAGACTAAAAACCTGATTGTGGAACATTTTGACTGAGATATCAGGATTGATTCTGTTATCTATTATAATATAATTATACATGTAGGCGAAGATGATGATGAAGACACCACCTCCTCAAGCGAATCGGAGTCTGATTAATATTCTGTACCCACATTCAATTCAATGTACTTTATTGCATAGAAATACAGATTGTAACTTTGTAACAAAGAATAAATAAAACAATTTTATTATATTAATATTACCTTTTTTTGCTTTCCACTTAAATTAATAAAATATAAATTTTAAATGATTCCACCAATTTAAAACGAAAATCTTAAAAATAACGCGGCGGTTCATTTTGAAGGAACGGTAACGAACTCAGTGTTATGTTGTGCCCATCACTAGTCGTGACTAACTGATAGGTGTGAGGAACGCATTCTCTGAACGGCCGAACTATAGTTACGAATATTCTCACACGCATACTTGGCGACTTCCAGCTTCGCGATCAAACCCGGATTTCAAAAAGTTAGTCTAGTCTAGACTATAGACCACATACACATTCTTCGACAAATTGTACGAAGAGTACAGTCTACCACTTTGTCTTGCATATACCAAGTAGCAGACTGTACCACTTAGTATTGCGTGGACTATAAGAAAGGCTTTGATTCTGTCAAAATTAGGTTGGTGCGATAAAATTGTCACTGTACCGTTTCACACCAGTGGTTAGAAATAACTGCAAAATTGATTGGCAATACTAAAAGTACGGCGCGTACGTGCCGATATGACAGACCATCAGTAAATGCCGCACGTACGGCGCGTACGGTGCAGATAAATGTGCGTTCACCTTTAGGCTACTGTCTCTTACTATACTGTATTCTATCTCACTCTCTCGCAGGCCAAATCCTATACATGTATATGTTTGTCTCCTTTTAGTGTCGTTTTTTCGTTTCATCGAGTTTCAAATCACAACAATTCTAAAGAAGTTTTGTCTTAATAAAATTATGTTTTTTTTTTATTACTTCCCTTGTGACAACCCCAGCAATTTTATTTGTCCCGACGAAAGTCAGCTATATTCGCAACTTCAAACGCGATGACTGACTGTATGTTCTTCTTATTCTGCGGTCCCGTCGACATTACATTTCTGACGACGACATTGTCTAAAAGAAGCTCATAAAGGTTAAACATACCGACAGGTATTCCAGATTTACATAAAGCTTCCCAAACATCATCAGTTCCACCAAATTTAGGATGTATACATGTCCCATGACCGATTCTATCTGGCTTAAACTGAATCATTTGCAATATTTCTTCTGGGTTACTGATTTCACCACAGTGAAGAGTCACCTGAAACGAGTATATATAACATTCAATACTTACACTACAACAATGAAAATATCGAAACTATACATAGGTATATGTAATGTAATAAATGAAAATTACTTTTAAGCCCGCAGTTCTCGTTTTTGAAAATATTTTTACAAAATTTTCAAACTTTCCACAACCTGGATTACCACTAAGCTCTAATCCAACCACAACATTTGGAAACTTTTTATGGTACTCTATTGCCAAATCTGCTATTTCTTCAGCTTCCGATATAGAATTAGATCTATTTATAGATACTATAAGGAGAGAAATTATGCTAAGGCTTTGTGACGATTTTCTGCAAATGTAAAAATGTATGTATCCAATTTTCTTCTAAGTACAATGAACAGGCCAGTGACCATTAGCATTTTGATATTAAGACATGGATTTAAACAAGTTCATTATAAAATTAAAATCCCAACCAAACATTGTAAGTATACTTAATGCCTGAAAATAATTCCACATCATAGAAGTACATGTGTTCATAAAAAACGATAAAGTAAAATACGGGATACTTCAACCAATGCAAGGATATTTTTTTTAATTTTACCTTTTCTTTTTAGATTTAATGACTTTTTATTAGGTCTTTGTGTGTTTTAATATGATTCAGCAGATATTGTGTTAAAAAGTTTATAATAAGATCGAGAGAAATGTAAATATTGGTAATGTAATAATAAAAATGAATGATACTGCTGATAATGGCGTAACTAAGAAGCTCCGGTCATAACCTATCCGTCACCGAAGCTCAGCATTTCAGCATAAAACAAAAAATTGAGTTTTTGCACAAACGTTGATCTAATCACTAGGCTATGGTTGTCATAGACGGCCACAAAAATTCTCTTACACCTAGACTGAACCTTCATTAGCGGTCTGCCTTTTGAGACAGTCTTGTATATATCAGATATTATAATAGTCTTCTTGTATTTCTCTTAGTTAAGTTTTGTTACAAAATGATTTTCAAATATTCTATTATGCCATCATATCAGGAACAGAACAGTAGTTGTTGTTACATGAAGAGGGTGTAATTAAAGCCAACGCCAAAGCCAAAGTACTAAAGCATAAAATTACAGATGAAAAAAGTTAGTTTTAATTTAACACATACTGCATAGCTTGTACAATTGTGTCTATGTACTGCCTCTTCGTCATATGTGATGTATCCCGAGGAGTGCTCCTTAATTCAATATAACAGCATCCATCTTCTTGAAACTCTTGGAGTGTTAAAGTTGTAGCTAATTTCAATGTCTCTGGGGTGCTTGTTAGAGCATGGGCGATGTTAAACACTTGAAAACAACTGAAATTATAATAATATAAAGTACCCCATATAGTTAATACAGTGATTTTTGTAAGAATATTTTTAGTTATATATTTACCTCAAAATATTCCTACACATAATATTAGTGCAACATGTAATTCAGTTGCATATTGTCAACTTACTTTTGCATTTTTGCAGTTCTTGACTTTATATTTTATTAGTCGGAAAAGTTACAGCAAATTAAAACAAAATGAATAAGGATAAGGTCATTTAAATGTACTAATAATTATCAACTTAGAAAAATTAAATATAAGTTGGCTTATAACACAGTCAGGACAACACCATGAAACAAGGTACCAGATGCACTATCTTGAAGGCAGAAACAGAAGGAACTGAATAAAAATTACCTCACATAAAGTCAACACTTGAGCAACCTTGAACTGCTGTAATTGACTTGAACTCAATACATTTGAGTCTGTTGTAAAATCCATGCTGTAATTCGGTTTAACAAAAAATCCACTCAAAATTTCAGTTCGATTGACCAATACATCAAGGACTAATAAAATTTTACTTAGGTAAATTGAATTTAAACCTGCATGTCTGAGAAATAAGAAAAAATATTTCGAAGACATGTGAAGTTCACCAACATGCATTGGGGCAGTGCAGTGGACATTTCCTTGCCCTAAAACCCTCTCAAAAATGGGAGGTCTGTGTCCAGCAGTGGGATATATATAGGCTGTAATTTAAATATTATTTGATCATTAAGTCGAGGGATACTCATCCCAATTTACCTGTCCGGTAGTTGTGGTATGGTATACGGGTATGCGACCCCGGCTTCCCTAGCTATTACTGTCCTATCCCGTGCCCTCCTGGACGGTAATATCCTACATTTCCTATTTCCTACCCTAACTTACTTTACTCTTCCTTTTCACACCACCTATCCTTCCCCTTTTCCTATTCCTACCCTCCGCCAATCCAACGTCTGCCGCGCGGATGGATGCATGGCTAGGGGCGAGCCTAGTCGTTAGCGTGCCACACTGCCCTGGGACCGGGCGACCCCAGAATTAGGCTAGCCTTACCCTGGCATGCGGGGCTCTGCTGGGGGGGACAAACCTTTCCCTCGCTATTCGTGGGAACGCAATGGATAGTAATAAAAATAATTTAATTAACCAAAATGGCGGCGATGTGGTTCGCCACCCATCACGTCTCGTTTCTCGCGGGGGCGAAAAGCGGCCCACGGAGAGCCGCTTCGCTACGTTGAATGTAAGAGGAGGAATGGATGGTAAGGTAGATGAAGTATGTCAGATGATGGATGAACGTTGCATTGATATTCTGTGCGTGAACGAAACCAAGAGGAAAGGATGTGACACCACGGTTCATGGCCCCTACACGGCATACTGGTCGGGAGTCCCCCAAACCAGCCGAGGCTGTCAGGGAGTTGGTGTGATTCTTTCATCTCGAATGGTTGAATGTGTGATGGAGCATGAATGTATAAGCCCAAGACTACTCTGGATTAGGTTAAAAGTCGGACTCACTCGCTTGGTTATCCTTGGGGTCTATGCACCAACGGATCTGCGTGGAGGTGGGTCCATAAAAACACAACAAGAGAGAGAGGAATTTTGGGATAGCATGAGAGAGGTCTTGAATAAATGCGGAGAAAATGAACGGATCGTGATGTTAGGGGACTTTAATGGATGGGTTGGAGTAAAGCGTGATGGGTATGAAGGAGTTCTGGGTACGTTTGGGGACGAGAGAGTGAATGACAATGGGAGAAGCCTGCTTGAAGTATGCTTGGAATGGAATCTGTGCGTGGCCAACACAATGTTTGACCACAAAAAGATCCATTTGTATACAAGAGATGAGGGTGAGTCTAGAAGTATGATTGATTTTGTAATTGTGGATGAAAGACTGAGGAAGAAAGTGCTAGACACTCGGGCATACCGCGGTGTAGGCCTCGACACAGACCACTTCCTGGTCATAGCCCGAATGCCTGGCCTCTTTAAACGGTGGCGACACCGAGTGGCCGAGCCTACGAGTGTTTTGGACAGAGTAAAAGTGGAAAATCTACAAGAAGAAGAAAAGAAAGACGAGTATGTAGAGAAACTGAAAGAAAGTTTTAAAGGGATAGAAGAGATAGGAGTGATTGAAGATTTGTGGGAGACATTTAAGAAAGGGGTCGTAAATGTTGCTATCGAGGTATGCGGGGTAGCTAAAAGAAGGAAAGGAAGAAAGAATGATAACGTGTGGATGGATAAAGATGTACAAAAGGTTGTGCAAGAAAAGAAGAAAGCGTGGTTGGATTGGTTAGCAACAAAAGCTAACCAAAAAGTTCAAAAGGCAACGGATGACGAGATAAAGGAAGCAAGAACGAAGTATAAAAGATTGAAAACAGCAGCGAAAGAAATTGTGTCTAGAAAGAAAGAAGAACGAAAGGATGATTTCGATAGGAGGCTCACTGAAGATTTCCAGTCAAACATTAAGTTTTTCTGGAAAACCATCAAAACAGCCAGAGGAAAAACTTCTACCTCTGAGCTGAGTACAATCAGGAGTCAAGATGGGAGCATTATAAAAGGAGAAGAATGTGTGTTAAAGAGATGGAAAGAGTATTTTGAAAGTTTGTTTGAAAGAGAGGAAGTGCAGGTACAGCATCTGCCACCTTCCACGGAAACTAATATAAATGTTGATGAAAATGAGATAAGCATGGATGAAATAGTGAAAGCATTGAAAAGTATGAGATTAGGTAAGGCTGCAGGGTATGACAGGATTACCGTCGAGATGCTGAGGGCTGGACAGGGCCTGGTGGCTAGTCAGCTGTACCGCCTTTTCAATCTGTGCTGGCGAAATGGGCAAGTACCGGGAGACTGGTGCAAAGCCGTAATCGTGCCATTATATAAGGGAAAAGGGTCACGGCAAGACTGCATAAATTACCGCGGTATAAGCCTTCTCAGCGTCGTCGGTAAATTGTATGCGAAAGTGTTGATTGAAAGGATTGTGAATGAAACAGACAAGAAAGTATGGGATGCACAAGCGGGATTTAGAAAGGGAATGGGATGTACGGATCAGGTCTTTTCCTTGCGGTGCATAGCCGAAAAGTATTTGGCTAAAAACAAGAAAGTCTACTGCGCGTTCGTAGATCTAGAAAAGGCCTATGATAGAGTGGTGAGGAATGAATTGTGGTCAGCACTGTCCGTGAACGGTGTGAGCAGTATCCTCATACGAGCAATGCAATCTCTTTATAGGGATTCTAGTGCTTGTGTAAGGATAAACGGGGCATACACTGAATGGTTTAATATCGAAAAAGGTGTTAGACAGGGATGTGTAGCGTCACCGTGGCTGTTTAATCTGTTCATGGACAATTGTTTGACAGATTTAAAAGAGAATGAAAGTGGGTGGAGAATGAATGAGTTACTCGTCAAATGTTTTCTCTATGCTGATGACCAAGTATTACTTGCGTCTTCGGCCGAGGAGTTGCAGGAGATGGTAACTGCTATGAGTGGAGCTTTTGTTAGAAAGGGAATGAAGATGAATGTAAGGAAGACGAAAGTGATGGTGTTTGAAAAAGATGAGGCAGTGACAGACTGCAATATCGTGATTGATGATGAACAAATTGAACAGGTGAAAGAGTTTGTGTATCTGGGTTCAAAGTTTACAAGAGATGGAAAGTGTGAGAGTGATATCGAAAGAAGAGTGAATGCAGGAAACATGGTGAATGGAGCTTTGCACTCCTTTATGAGCAGTCGGAAGGTGTCTAACAAGGCTCGTTTGGCTGTGCATGAGGGGGTGTTGGTTCCGACACTCATGTACGGAAGTGAAACTTGGGTATGGCAGAAGAAACATGAAAGCAGAATAAATGCAGTTGAGATGAGAGCATTAAGAAGTATGATAGTAGTTAAACTGAGTGACAGGCTAAGAAATAGTGAGGTAAGGAAACGTTGTGGTCTGAAAGAAGATGTAGTGACAAAAATTGAGAAAGGTATGCTGAGATAGTTTGGCCATGTCGAGAGAATGAATGAAGAACGATTGACGAAAAAAGTGTATAAGGCGAGTGTGAATGAAAGTGTTGGAAGGGGTAGACCTAGGCGGACATTTCTAGACCAAATCAGGGACGTCTTGAAAAAAGGCCAGGTCAAGAGTACCCTAAACCGTAGAGCATGTATGAAGGGAATAATGAAAGTGGACGAAGCAAAACAAGTATGTAAGGATCGTAGCAAGTGGAAAGAACTGGTCTCTGCCTACCCCTACGGGAAAGAGGCGTGATTATATGTATGTATGTATGTAATAATAAATAATTTAAATGGTAATGTTAAAAGAGTTCAATATATATATTACTCAGACAAATTTCTAGTGTCCCCTGCACCAATTTGGAACTCATCAAAGAAAGCATTTGTTTCATCTGATATTCCTGCATCTGCATAGTATCTTTGTAACTGTAGCATTGTAGAGCGACTCAGTGACCCATTTAAATGTGCATGCAGCTCCTGAAAGCAAGTACATAAAGCTGTTGGTCCTAAGCATAATCTCTCTCCAGTTGTGTCTAATTGCCGTCCCATTGGACTATGAGAGTGATGGAATAAAAGTGCTTCTGATCTTGCGCACACACTCTGACACTATAATCCTGTCCTGCACAGATGGCTAGTCTCCATTAAGGCTGACCACCAAGACTATAAATATTTATACTACAATAAAATTAACAAAAATAGACTAAATATTATAGATTTTACTAGCTGACCGGGCTGTGTTGTTTTGCCATATACATTATTTCTGGGAAATATTTTTTAGTTTTAAAAATTGCGATTAAAAACAGGGGTTGATCGTGGAAGGGTTAAAATTTGATGTTTTATGTATTTTTCAATGCTAAATTATAATAAAATAGAAATAAAAATTTGTCAAAAAAATAAAATAAAATATTTAAGCATGGGTCACTCTTATCATTTAGGGGTTTGAAAAATAGATGTTAGCCAATTCTCAGACCAACCCGATATGCACACGAAATTTCATACCAATTGGTTCAGCCGTTTCGGAGGAGTTTGGTCACAAACACCGCTACATGAGAATTTTATATATTAGAGATTATGAGCATAAACATATAAAAGTATGTAAGCAAGAAAATAATATGACAAACTAACAGAAGAGATTGTGAACATTATGTTACATAGCAGCAGCTTAACGCTGCTGCGTTTCATATCTTTATGCTGGAAATGGGGCATTCTATCTTAGTCCTCAGGGGTGACAACACATCTAAAATTTGATTCTTAATCAAGGACAGATGTAAATGTCAATGGGCCAGAGGATCCACTCAGCATCAGGTGGACTGGTTGCCTGTTTGTCCCCACACTCATCATATAATATAATTTAAAAAGTATGTTTAATCATACATTGGTATTAAAATATTATATTGTTTTAATAAACAATACAATAAAATAGTAATAAAATTCGTTGCTTTAGATTTACATTTTTTAACAATGAAGTTTAAAGCTAAGTGTTAAACATAAAAGCTTAATACGCTGACTACTAAGTTAGTAGTCAGCGTATTTCGCTTTTATGTTCGTAAGTCTTCGTATGGTCCTCCAATTTTGTTTTCTTAGATACTGGACGATAAGGACAAATTTTAACTAAAATTGGAAATAGTCGCTGTCGAAACGACTAGTTTAGATAAAATATTCGCTATTTAAAATTTTTATTGTAACTCAGTTTTCAGTGCTGACACATTTTATTCAGTAACTTCAAAATGTTCGATATTACTTACTATTTTGGGTAATTCACGACAAAAGCGATCCAAATCCAAGTCCATGTTAAAAAAATGGAAAAAGTAAATTATTATTTTATATTAGAAGATAATGTAATTATATTCTGAAATTCGGTAGACTCCAATCTAAGAAATATTTTGATTAGCTTGCTAACTTGCTAAAGTCTGTTTATTATTTTCACAGAACACAATTTATTTTATACGTTGTATATATTTATTTATCTTTGTACGAAGTACATATATTTCCATTTTCCATGATTTATCTATAATTTTGACAGCTATCATATTTATTGCCAGGCTCAGAAGGGCTAGAACCCAGAGCCGTAAAGCCAGTTTAAAAACATATTTATTGCCCTAGGCATTTCAACTGAAAAATTGGTACCTATAATCAAAGAGAATATAATCACTACGTTTAAGAGGCGGGACTTCGATAGTAAAAATAATTGCATGAAATTACGCCAAGTTACTCTACCAACATCAAGATATGACATTTAGTTTTGAGAAACACTGCTGACAACATTGACGAATTACAATAGTGCTGTAAATGTCTATCCTCGAATAATTTTATCGATATAACCTTTATCGATATATTGTTTATCGATATTTTTACATAAGAAAAGTTAGATCTCTATACTGAATTTTTTATGAGAAATAAATTTTTTTACGTGTGGATTGAGTAAAAATGCCGTTGAGGATAAGAAATCAATGTATTTTACACACAGCAATTTGTATTTATATCTCTACAATTAGGTACAAAAGTATGTATAAAGAAAATATAAAATAAAAAACGCATTTTTATACTAGTAATTAATTAAGTAAAAAATAAATGACGACTCCGTAGCGCAGTGGCTAAGCGTTTGACTGCGGCATTGCAGGACCGAGGCTTCCTTCCCGCACTGAACAATTGTTTTTATGCTGTAAAATAAATAGTCTGCGTCTGGATGCTTGTTTTCAACGTTAGTTTTTTTACTTACTTATCTTTACGCACAATCCCTGACGGGGTAGCCAGAGAGAACAGATCGCCAAGTGTCACGATCCTTACATACCTCTTTCGCTTCTTTCAGATTCATTATCTTCTTCATACATGCACGTCTAGGTATCCGAGTACTCTTGACCCTACCCTCTTCGAGCAATTTGCTCACATGGTCTTCGAAAGTTAGTCTCGGTCTACCTCGACACCTTTTAATATTAACTTTCGCGCTATATATTTTCTTCACCATTCGGTCTTCACTCATTCGCTCAACGTGCCCAAACCACCGAAGCACGCCCTTATCAATTTTTGTGATAAGGTCATCTTTCAAACCTGCCATATTGCGAATCTCTTTGTTTCGCTTTCGGTCGGCCATGGTAACGCCGCACATTTTACGAAGAGATCGCATCTCCACTGCATTCAACTTGCTTTTATGCTTCTTCTGGCATATCCAGGTTTCGCTGTCATATAACAAAGTCGGTACCAACACTGCGTTATGTATTGCAAGGCGTGCACTATTCACTACGCCTTGCCTTTTGACTAACGCAGTCAGGGCACCATTGACTTTGTTCCCGGCAGCAACACGCCTGTCCACATCTAAATCACATCTTCCATCCCGGCTAAAAGCACTCCCCAAGTATACAATTTCATTTACTTGTTCTAGACATTCCTGATTTACCCATATTTCACACTTCGTTCTCTCTTCGTCCCTTTCAAATACCAGAACCTTAGTTTTATTAGCGTTCAAACGGAGACCTTTAATTTCACATTCCTCTTTCATACACGTGACTAATGCCTGCAGTTCTGCCTCTGATGGTGCAATAAGCACTGCATCATCAGCATACAGCAGACAATTTACTTTTATGTCACCCAATTAACAAATAACAAATAAAACACCCAATCTTTCAGCAGCTTTTGTAAACAGCTGTCGAGATACAGTATGAACAGCCAGGAAGACATGACACAACCCTGTTTTACGCCCGTTCGGACGCTAAACATGGGTGACAGGTCATACCCTACCCGCACACAGGCTTTACAGTCACAGTAAAGAGACTGCACAGCCCTTAGCAATCGACCATCCACACCATACCCCGGCAACAGTTCCCACATTTTCTTCCTTACAACCTTATCAAATGCTTTCTCAAGATCCACAAAAGCACAGAAAATCTTCTGGTTAGCAGCCAGAAGCTTTTCCGTGATCATGCGGAGAGAAAACATTTGATCCGTGCATCCTCTTCCAGGTCTAAATCCGCATTGTGCCTCCCATAGAAATCTTTCCGATTTCTCTTGCATCCTACGTGTCAAAACCTTCGAGTAAACTTTACTTGCTAAACTGGTCAAGCTGATCGCCCGATAGCACCCGCAGTCAAAATGTGAACCTTAACCTTTATATAAAGGCACAATGACTGCGGATCGCCAATCATCCGGGACATCCCCCGTCCGCCAGCACAAATTGCACAGCAGATGAACGCTGTCCCAGACGCGAGGCCCACCATACTTGACCATTAGTTTTTTTAAGGGTAAAAATATTGGGTTTTTAATACTCATTGGATTAAATTGCTTTTATGTGTAACAAATACTATGTACAAATCGCTAGGCTTTTTCACAGAGGCACCTATGTACATACTATTCGCAGAGATCGTTTACTATCTCTGTTGTGACATGACATGTGCTGACATGTTTTTATAGTGTACGATTGTGTGCACAAATACAAACACACTATTTCCTAAATCTGATAGTTCGATGGTTTGGTAATCCGAAACGAACTATACTTAGAAACTACAAGTCAATTCTGACTGCTAACATTCTATTTGTTCAATAATAATGTGATTTTATTTATATTATTTTTTCAGATGCAAGCAATGGGTGAAATAGCTGGCACATGCACCAATTGAAAAGATTCACATGTTAAGACATATTTATGACAAACATTGCATATGAATCCAACTAAAACGAACTGTTATTTCTTTAGTGGACTTACTTTAAACTTCCACAATTTATGTGTATGTTAATTAGGTTTCATTTACATGTAGCAAAAGATAATATCCCTCAAAAGTCACATTTTGGCAAGAATTAGATTATATAACTAAATCATTATTTTATTCATCAATAAACATTAGCTATAATGAGCACTTATTTTGAAAGCGACAATTAGTAAACGATCCCTGCGAATAGTATGTACATAGGTGCCTCTGTGAAGAAGCCTAGCGATTTGTACATAGTATTTGTTACACATAAAAGCAATTTAATCCAATTAGTATTAAAAACCCAATATTTTTACCCTTAAAAAAACTAACGTTGAAAACAAGCATCCAGACGCAGACTATTTATTTTACAGCATAGCAACAATTGTTCAGTGCGAGAAGGAAGCCTCGGTCCTGCAATGCCGCAGTCAAACGCTTAGCCACTGCGCTACGGAGTCGTCATCTATTTTTTACTTAATTAATTACTAGTATAAAAGTGCGTTTTTTATTTTATATTTTCTTTATACATACTTTTGTACCTAATTGTAGAGATATAAATACAAATTGCTGTGTGTAAAATACATTGATTTCTTATCCTCATCGGCATTTTTACTCAATCCACACGTTAAAAATTTTATTTCTCATAAATAATTCAGTATAGAGATCTAGCTTTTCTTATGTAAAAATATCGATAACAATATATCGATAAAGGTTATATCTTATATATTTAAAATGACTTTAATTATAAACATTTTCTATTAAAATTACGCTTTGCATCTTTAATTCAATGTCATTAGTTTAATAAAAAAATAAATGATGAGCTTTCTTAACAGAACACGATCTTTTTAAAAGTTTATGAAATTATATGTAATAGTATTTGTCCTTTGTAGGACTAAAGTGAGGCAGATTACCAGATTTTTTTAAATTCAGAAGCGGACCACCCTCTATCTTAGTCTTTGCAAAATCAATAATGACCACTTCTAAGGTGTAAAATTTTAACTAGAAGTTATGTCTAAAGTATAAATCACACTAATATCTACGATCTTGTATTGAATTATAAAAGACAATTATTAAATGTGCAGCCAAGTTTTCTCACGCCTCAAGATCAAAATAATATAGTAATCACTTTCGAATTTTTTACAAACTTCCATACTTATACTTATACTTATACTTATCTTCACGCACAATCCCTGACGGGGTAGCCAGAGAGAACAGATCGCCAAGTGTCACGATCCTTACATACCTCTTTCGCTTCTTTCAGATTCATTATCTTCTTCATACATGCACGTCTAGGTATCCGAGTACTCTTGACCCTCCCCCCTTCGAGCAATTTGATCACATGGTCTTCGAAAGTTAGTCTCGGTCTACCTCTACACCTTTTAATATTAATTTTCGCGCTATATATTCTCTTCACCATTCGGTCTTCACTCATTCGCTCAACGTGCCCAAACCATCGAAGCACGCTCTTATCAATTTTCAACAACAAACTTTCATACTTTACGAATATGGAACTATTCAAATAAATAAAATTGAAGTGTCTGTTCGTAACGTCAAAATAACAGATTTTTACTAAATACATATTATGAAAGTATATAATATAAAAAAATTAAATTTTGTCTGGCTGTATGTATGTTTGTTCAGGCTAATCTCCGAAATGGCTGGACCGATTTTGACGGGCCTTTCACTGGTAGATTGCCGACTGCCTCGTGGGTCTAGTGGTTTCTAGCGCGACTGTGGATCATGATTTGCTCCTGGGTTTGAATCCCGGGTCGTGCCAAGCACCGTTATTGGATTAATTTGGGTAGTATAAGTATTCTAGAAACCACCTTGATAGTCGTATTACAGCCCTCAATGAAGCACTTAGATTTTTGGGTTTCCTCGTCGTACGTTTTCTTATAGAAAAGAGGGGCAAACGAGCATGCGGGTCACCTGATGGTAAATGACTACTGCCGCCCATGAACAACCGCAAGACCAGGGGAATTGCAGGTGCGTTGCCGGCCTTTTAGAAAGGAGTAAGCTCTTTGTTTGAAGGTTGAATTCCACAGAGAAGTTGTACTAGGAAGAAAACTCCTATTAAAACGCACAGTGGTGGCCCGTCAAGCGTCCAGATG